TAATCTGGAAATGACCCTCACCGTCGTCTTCGTGATTGGTGAGGCGCCCTTACTGTCTTCTCTGCGTTATTCTCCTTCTCCCCCTGGCGCAGGCCCTCATCCCCCTCCCTACGTTGCCCCGTTTTCGCCCTTCTGTTTTTTTACACCCCCCCGCCACCTCCCTTGTGTCGGTTTTCCTAGGCGTCGTCGCCGCTTCGGCCAGCACCAGCGCGCTCTCTAATTGGCCACATCGCGAAGCCGTTGGGGCAACACCACGGGCCAGGCCGTCGGGGTAACCCCGCGAGCCAGTGGCGCGCGAGACCAAATCGTTGGGACAACCCCGCGGGTTTCGAGTGGGGCGCCGCTGCGCCCAGGCGGGAGACGGCACGAAGCCCAGCTTTACTGCGAGCTGCTCCGCCTCTGCCCTGGAGCTCTCCGCTGTCATGTCGAACTCCAGGAGCGCCTTCCGCAAGGACGCCGGCGGCCCTCGCTCCAGGAACTCTCCGCGGCGGCGGCCGCAGAATCGGCATGTTCCGCATGCGCGTGGCGCGGGAGAGCATGACGTAGAGGTGCAGCCACCATGGGTCGTCCGACGTGCCCGTGCGGTTGAGGTAGGACGCGCGCGTCAGGGTGAACCCTGAGCGGGGCACGGCGTGCTCCGAAGGAATGGGCGATTACGTTCCGAGCGCGAGCCGGGGACGCCCACGCGATCCACTCCCAGACGTGGTTTTTTTTCGACATTTCGTCCAGATCCAAGAGTCAGGAGCCCCAAAGAGACAACACGTACCAGCTTTCATTGCCTACGTGAGCTACGGGACCCATGCGGAGAAAGCTCCCGCTTGAGAATTTTTCGTTATACAGTCAAGGACGAGGCGCCCGCCCGAGACTTCCGCAAAAGTCAAGCCGAAGGGGCCCAGAGTGACGACAGGTTCAGGTTTGCGGGTGACCCACCAGGATTCGAGCATGAATCGCGGGCCCATACGGAGGGTGTTCCCGCTTGAGACTTCCTCGCAACTCGCTCGCACACGAGGTTCCCGCCTGACACTTCATCACGAATCAGGCTTCAGGAGCCGAAAAGTGAAGACAGCGACAAGAATCGAATGACCCCCTGGGTAACTAAATATCTGCGGGCCCCCGTAGGGAGGGAGCTCCCGCCTGAGACTTCCTCGCGATTTATCAACGGACGAGGTTTCCGCCGAATGCGTCCTCCATATTCGAGTTTCTGGAGCCCACAATTAACAATAGTTAGAAGAATCGAAGGACCCTTTCGAATTCGTAAAATAATTTGCGGGCCCCATAAGGACGGGGTTCCCGCCGGAGATTTCCTCGCAAATTGCTTCCCCAATATTCAGGCTTCAGAATCCCAGCACTTATGACATTTATAAGAATTGAATGACCCCCATCGAAATCGTAACAAGATCTGCGGGACCCATAGGGAGGGGGCTCCCGCCAGAAACTTCTTCGCAAATCGCTCCCAGAATAGGTTCCCACCTGATACCTCATCCAGATGAGTGTGTGTGCAAGTCTCTGCCATGATGACGACGATGGTGGCGATGCTGGCGTGCTAACGATGATGATGAATTAATGTCATTATGATGATGTTGAGTGGTGATTGCACTAACGATGAGGTCGATGTGTGTGTGTGTGTCAGTGTGTGCGTGTGTGTTCGAGAGAGGAGGTGAGGCGAGGTGAAGACTGCGCAGGGCGCCCAGGGAGTACAAGAGCCTCATTTTGGATGTGCGGAAATCGTCCGCCATCATTTGTTTACGACGCGAGGGGGTTTGGATAACGAGCGCTTGGCCGCCGAAGCTGGGCCCTCGCGGGCCTCCTCTCCGCTCCGTTCGGCAGCAAATCATGAGAGCCTCTTGTACTTTCGACACCCCGTCTTTAAAGTGCACTTGCAACGGTCAGCATCGATGAGGCAGCGCCGATTTCGCATCGACTGGCGTCGATGTGGCGCCGATGTGCGTGGACCAGCGTCGATTAGCGCAGACTCGCAAGAGCTTCCAATATTCGGCGGCGAGCGACGGGTGGCAAGTGAGAAGGGGAAGGGCTTCTCAGAAGGCGGCGGGGCTTCTCGGAAGCCTTCCGACCTTCTGAAAAGTCTGCTGTGTCTTCGCGGAAAGGTTCAGGACACTTCGCAGAAGGCCGAGGGACTTCCGAGCCTTCTGAGAAGGCCCGCCCCTCCTCACTTCCCGCCTGGGCTCGCCGCCACATTCGCATGCAACCCCTGGGAGATGAAATTCTTATTTTTATTTTTCCCTGATCCGAAATCCGCCCTATTCCTGCTTAGTCCCGCCTGATCCTGTCTAATCCCGCTTAGTCCGGCTGAACTCCCGCTGAATCCGCTGCATAGTCTGGCGTAGCAGTTCCCCGATGGGGCCCAATCCTCCCTGGTCCTCCCGACGAAGACCTCCCAGCTGCTGCCTCGTGAGCCAACATATGGCACGGGAGGCCTCCGCGGATTGCCCCTGAGAGCTCCGCTGCGCCGCCCCCGCCCCGCCCCCTGACCGCCGCCGAGGCTGGACCTGGCGGGCCTCCCCGCGCTCCCGGCGCTCATCGGGCGGGCCTGGGCCCGCCCCGGGGCGGTGGGGCGGCGAGGAGGCCGACGCCTAGTATATGTTTTTTAATTCGTTAGCGAAAAAAAAAGTGTGCTGTTGTTGGCGCTTGAATTTTTACTATTATTTTCTTTACTTTACAATATCATAATCTCGTCTTTCGAAGTAAAACTAGAAACAATACGTGTCTAATGTATTTCCAACACGAATTCTGTCAATTGAGTTTTTTTCTGGAAAATTAACAGAATGGGGACGGCCAAGAACGTGTTCTTTGAGGTCTGGGCGATGGCGGCCGTGATCGGCCCTCTCTCTCCTCACTCCTCCCTCGCCCCCCGGATCACGCCACGCTACGCTGCCTACGTTCGCAGAGGGTGTCTCGAGGATCCTTCGAGGAGTTCCTGAGATTTTTCCGGCGGCCCCCCGCCGTGGTGTGATCGGGGGTGACGAAAGTCCCCCCCCCGATCACGCCCCCGTTTTCGCGAATCATGGAAATGATGTTTCTGCGGGGGGCGGCCAAGAGGGGAGTGATGATTATGGGGGTGGACCTCATGGCTGGGGCTATGATGCCCCCCCCGCTCACGCCCGTTTTCGCGAATCATGGAAATGATGTTTCTGCGGGGGCGGCCAAGAGGGGAGTGATGATTATGGGGGTGGACCTCATGGCTGGGGCTATGATGCCCCCCCCGATCACGCCCGTTTTCGCGAATCATGGAAATGATGTTTCTGCGGGGGCGGCCAAGAGGGGAGTGATGATTATGGGGGTGGACCTCATGGCTGGGGCTATGATGCCCCCCAAGGTCTCATGGCACCTCGCCTTTGTTCAATACGTCCCCGGGCACCCCCCTGGACCGCGCACATGCCGCCGGTCATTGTTCTCGCCCCCCCTCTTAGACGCCCCCCTCTTGGCCGCCCCCGAGTTCTGGGCGCAACAGGGAACCACAACCACAACCAATGGGGAGTTTTTCAGGCGGGCCCCTCGGGGGAGAAGCCACCAGCCTCGAAGTGAACACTTTCGCTGTGGTCGTGGTCGACTTGGCCGTGCCCTGCGGTTGTTGGCTTGCGCCAGACATCCCCCAGGGTGTGTCCTCGACGTGGTTGTGGTCGTTAGTTGCCCCTGCACGCACGGCCTGGGTGGGTCATAGAGCGGGAGTTTGGTGTCCTGTCACAATTGCGCCCTGGCTCTCTTCAGGGGGTGGCGGTAGAATCCTCTGCCACCGTAAGGGGGGGGCTCTGCCCACGTATGGGGGGAGGCTCTGCCAACGTAGGGGGGTGGCCCTGCCGACGTAGGGGGCGGGGCTCTGCCAACGTAGGGAGGGTCTCTGTTAACGTACTGGGGTGGACGCGTTGCGCGACATGCGCGATCCGAGACTCACCCGGGAAATTTGCGAAGAAACGCGTGTTTGTATCAGTTTTCGATGTGCAATAACAGCAGTCGGCGTGCGAAATTCTGTAAGCGTCAACTTGCGGCAACCTACACCCGTCAAATCTGGCACCCCATCGTGGGCCAGTTGCCCCACCATGGTTCCCCGCGGGGAGAGCACGGATGAGGTGGAGGAGGAGGAGGAGGAGGAGGAGGAGGAGGAGGAGGAGGAGGACGAGGAGGACGAGGAGGACGAGGAGGAGGAGGAGGAGGAGGAACAGGACGAGGAGGACGAGGAGAACGAGGAGGACGCGGGCGTGGGCTGAGGGAAGACGACGTCGACGACGACGTTGACGACGACGTTGACGACGACGTTCGGCGACGACGACGCCGGCGACGACGACGAATACGACGACGACGACGACGACGACGACGACGACGACGACGACGACGACGACGACGACGGCCGAGATGGTGGCAGGGCCGTGCGCGGACGTGTGCATGCCGCGGTCGGGACGTTGGCAGATGCGGTGGCAGGACGTTGGCAGGACATTGGCAGAACGTTGGTAGATACGGTGGCAGAGACGGTGGCAGATACAGTGTCAGGACGTTGGCAGGACGTTGGCAGGACGTTGGCAGATACGTTGGCAGGACGTTGGCAGAGACGCGCGGGGGGTGGGTTGCTGGACCCCACAACTCCCGACAGGAACGGCGTTCTGACGGGAGTTGTTGGGTCCATCGACCCACGCGTTTCTTTCTTCCCAGGGTCCGCTCGGAGCGATTTTCCTTCCAGCCCCACCTTTGCCCCAACCCCACCTGCGTGGCCCCCCGAATGTGCTCAGCCTGGGGCCCCTCGCCATCTTCATCGGCGGGGGCGAACTGCTCACCCACGCCGCTCCTGGCCAGGCCGACCCTTGGGCCCGGCATCGGTGCATGTGCCCCCCCCTGCCTCGGCCAAGGGGGCGTACACACCGATCCTGGGCCCAGGGTGGATGGGCCTGGCCAGGATCGGTGCATGTGGATGGTCGGCGCCTTCCGACCGAAGTGCCTCAAGACGTCGCCGGGTGCGTCGGCCCCCGGCCAACCTGCCGCCGCGCCGCGGCGGCCCCCGGCCCGCCGCGCAGACGCGCCGCGCTCGCCCGCGCCAGCGGCAGGGCCGGCGGCGCCGCCTCACGCGGCGGCGGGCGGCAGTGCCGGGGCTGAGCGGGGCGCGGCCGCGGACGCGCGGAAAAAGGGGCATGGGCCACTCTTGCGGCAGAAGGCCCTTGGTCTAGGCCTCCTAGGTGGGGTCGGAGTAGATGGGGTCGAAGGACTGCGCCGTGTCGCCGATGCATCGGCGATGCGGCTCGATGTGGAGCCCGTGGTTCCCCACGCCGACGTCGCCGATGCATCGCTGACGTCGTCGATGCATCGCTGGCGCATCGCCGATGCATCGCCGATGCATCGCCGATGTATCGGCGATCCGGCGAGATCCTCCGACCTCATCTCTTCCGACCCCGACCCCGTCCAGGAAGCCTCTACTTGGCAGTCGTGTACTGTTACGAGGTGGGGGGCCACGATTGGGGGCCACGATGGGATGGGCCACCGATTTCGGAGGCTCCATCTCCCTCCACGGGCGTTAGAGGCATGATGCCTCCTGTCGGGGGGGTTGGACCGAGGGCCGAGCGGTTAAACAAGGGTATATGTCTAGTGGCTCGCGCCCTAAGTGTTCCCAGCCGGATTCTGCGCGCCATATGACCTTTTGTCGCGATGACCCAGAGGCGCGCGTGGCCCGCGAAAGGACAGGCGCGTTTAACAGTTCCCTTCAGGAGGCGAGGGGGGGCGACGAGGAGTTTCTCGCAGGTTTAAAGCGGGAGCACCCGATCGCATCGCGGCTTTGGCCCTCGGACCAGCACGAGCCAAGTTTGCTTGAGAGGCATCCTCTAGCCATGCCTTCTGGAGTTTCCCAGAAGCCCTCTAGAATCCCTGTAGAGCCAAATTCTAGAGGCCCCTCCAGAGTACCCATCATGCTCTCTAGGGCTCTCACAACGGACGACCACAAAGACATCCTCAGCCGCATGTTTTTCACTCGCCTCTTTATCCGCAGTGTCCAGACGAGTCAACAAACTCTTCTGCCTGTCCCAGCACGTCGTGCATTCCTCCTCCGACGAACGCGAACTCCACCTGGCTGCTCCGTGGCGCACCGCGAACATCCGCATTCACGGAACGATGTCTTGGAAGATTTTCAGTACCGCGGACGCACTTTCGCCCCAGTACTTCATCGTCGACCCGCTCGAGCGCGCACAATCGGCTGCTGCCCTGGAGCTCTGCCCAGTCGCTGTCAGGCCTTTTGAACGTTTCTTTTTTGGCCAACAACGCCAACATGACATTACTCGTGCGGCTCTCCACTGTAAGGCGCGCTGCCCCACCGGGCGCTGCGCCTAGGCAGTTCGGCCGGCTCAGCAGCGAGCGAGCACTCGCACGAAGTCAGGGTTCGTAGATGTGGTCCTGTGGGCTGCCGTCCGAAGGGCCCCTTTTGCGCCCTTACAGGCGTCCTTGACCGTCTCCTGAGAGGCCCTCAGGACCACATCCTTCAGGACAGCATCTGCCAAGCCCCGCCCACCACATTTCTTCGACCTTTGGCGACCGAAATTGCCATACCTCGGTAGGGGTACCGACACCAGCGCGCGCGGCACTATGCACGCGCACGCACACACACACACACCCTTTCGCGCACACACGCACACACATATTCACACACGCTCTCGCGCACATACACACACACACACACGCACGCGCACGAGCGCACCCGCACCCGCGATAGGTTGGAGACCTCTCGCTGCCGACCGCCGCTGTGGATGTCGATGCCGAATCGCTCCGAGCGCACCGGCGCCGCTTGCACCCCTTGCTCGGAGCCACATAATCACTCATCATCCCCACACATCCGAGTCGTGATTTTTTCAAAACGGGGCCCCCAGAGGTCCAACCAACTTCCCACGGGCCGGCTGTTCGTTTCAAGCCGATGTTTGACGGTCCCGAGGCCCGTTGAGGGCCTCCGGAAGCCGAAAGCGTGGAACATAACATCCGCATTGAGAAGGTCACGAAGTCGGAGTTCTAGGTCGTCGCTCATAACCGCCCCTCCTGCCATCGTCCGCGTCGCCCTCCCTGCTGCCCCCCGCCGCCCATATCCTTCTCATGCGCTCCCCTATCCCGCCTGCTGTGTCGAGCCGCTTCCAGAGGCTCCCAGCATCGCTCAACACTCTTCCTTCCCGTCCCTCCCTCTCCCTCTTCTCCCCCTCCTTTAACCTTCCCCGCGCGTCGTGGATTCTTTCCGCGCCAGGCCAACCCAATGGATCAAGGATTCAACGACACAACGGAATACACCTATACATGTATACTGTACACATATTTCGATCGATCTATCTTTATATACATATATATGTGTATAAGAGTTTGAACTCGTACATATAACCCGTACATCAAGATGTTTAGGGAATGAGAAACGCGCAGTGCCGCAAGCAAGCGATGGGAAGAAGTGCATGGCCACCAGCGTGGCGGGTGCAACAGGAGGTGCGCCGCTTGGCCTCCGCCGGTGCAGGAGCGCCACGCGATGTTCCGCCTGTCGTCCAGATGGGGAGCCCAGCCTCCTCCTCCT